GGAACTTGGCTGTCTGGGACAGAAATGTCAAAGAGAAATGCTGATGGCTCCCTTGGGACTTGCCAAAACCTTGACACTGGGGGCAGCTTGATGGTTAGCAGCTCTCTCCTGCCTTAGAGGCGGGATCTGCCCCGGTTTCATCCAGTGAAGGAAGGACTCCATCTCCTGTGAATAGTGGTTGGAATGGACACCCAGAATATGTTGCCATTGTACTAGTTCCAGTTTTCTTCATCATGGGACTTTTTGGAGTCTTTACCTTCCATCTGCTTAAGAAGAAGGGCTATCAATGTACAACAGAAGCTAAACAAGATACTTTGGAAAAAGTTGAAAAGACAGAATTGAATGGGAATATAAACAAGAAGAGTGATGCTGTTGAACAAATTGCCCATTACATCATGAAAAATGAAGCAAATGTTGATGTTTTAAAGGCCATGATGGCAGATAGTAGCATTTGTGATCCTGAAAGCCCTTCGACTTCTAGAACTCCAAGCAGTCCTCCAGTGAGTCCTGGTCCCTTGTCACCAGAAGGTACTCCAGGAAAGCATACGTGTGACTACCACCTACAGACTGTTTGAGGGACAATAGAAAAGAGATGTATGCCAGTGTTGCAGATATAAATGATGGCACTTTATAAAACCAAGCAACAAATCTAAAGAAGGAAGAAGTTGGCATCAAGAAAAGTGCCTGTTCTTTCTTAGCAGATTTAGAGTTACAAAAGTGAAACACAACACCAATAGCAAGGAAAGGAGAAGTGCTATGTCTGTGAGTGGCACAGAAAGTGTCAATGGCAGGCACCTGTTACTCCTGTGAAAAGGGAACGAAGTGGCACAGGACAGGAGGTGGAATTTATTTGAAGTTTTAAAAAGAATGAAAACTAAGGTGATCTACAAAGCCAACTGCCCAAGAAAATATTTTCTTATATCTTTTGTACCATTTCTATCATGAGTGTTTAAGACTCTAAAATGGAACATCATTGTTATGCTAGATGCGAAGATCCAGGCGTCAGTTCTATAATTGGTTTTGTCACTTATGCCTTATGAAAGTGTATTAAATTTTTGAGAAAGGCAAGATTTAATAGTATTTTAAAAGTCTTTTCCTTTGCCCTTTTGTACATAATGCAGTTCTCTCATTTCAGTAACATGTGTATGTACAGTGAGAATATTAATTAACAGTTTGAGATTGTGCTTTTTTTCCTTTGCGTGCCTCTTTGTTTTTTTTTTTGTTTGTTTGTTTTGTAAGGCAATTGGGGTTAAGTGACTTGCCCAGGGTCACACAGCTAATGTCAAGTGTCTGATCTGAGACTGGATTTGAACTCAGGTCCTCTTGACTCCAAGGCCGGTGCTCTATCTACTGTGCCACCTAGCTGCCTCTGCGTGCCTCTTTGTTAACCCCATCCTGTTTCTTCTTTTATTTTTTTTGTCTATGGGGAGAAGAGGAAGCAAGCATGATCAATTTCACTGTCACAGAAGTGATAGCAGCATGCCCCTCCCCCACCTTCATCATAATTATATTTCATCCCTAGACTACCAATGGCTTCCTTTTAGGAGTGACTTAAAATTGTGGCAACAATTCCCATTTTGATGATTAAAAAGTGACTTCAAGTCCATCAATGTTATTGTCTTGATAACCAAAGGCCCAAACAAGCACCTCCAGTGTAGGACAAGGGACTGTAACTTTTTCCAGACCTTTTCCATGGCATACTTGATGGCCTTTAGGTGTTGATGAGCATTCATATGATACCGTTCCCCACCCAGAACCTTTCTTTTTTTTGAAGAGGCCATTCTTTGCCTCATTTTTTTAAATTAAGCCTTTATCAATGAATGGGCACTGCCTCAGTCAAACTGAGAAGAGTTAAAGACCTTGGCTTGAAAAGCTCAAGGCTCCCAAGCATCCTGGGTCATCTCCAGTTGTCCTGATCCTTATCTGGCCACTGGACCCAGATGGCTCTAGAGGAGAAAGTGAGGTGGGTGACCTTGCACAGCTCTCCCTTACTTAAATCCAATTCTTGTGCATGTCATGGCATCACCTCCCTGATGTCGTGGTTCTCTTCGAGAATGAAGGACAAACAGCAATGGCAGGCAAGAGCACAGTCTGTGGGAAGTGGTGATGGAATAAGCTAGATAAAACCTGTCATTACTTTGAGTTTTGGTTTTTAGGCTATTTCCAGATTTCTGTCATTCAAGATCTTCAAAATAATTTAAAAAGAAACAGACCTACCAACAGTTCCCCAAAAGAACATCCCTCTGTCAATATGTTTTTAAGTATTACTGTAAATATCATCTTTTTCTTTTCTAAATCTAGCAATAAAGATTTTACCAAACTTTCAGATGACTGGCTGATTTAATTTTTCCTTATCTTTTTTTCTTCTTCTTCATATTTCAAGGCAAAATGTTGCAACAGAGAGCTAGGACTTGGACAAGCCTGGACTCGGAACGACTTGGGTTCAAGTCTGACTTCTTCCAAATACAGGCTGTGTTATCTGAAGCAAGCTGCTTAATCTCTCAGGGCTCTTAGCAACTCTCTTAAGACTATAAATTTCTGAAAAGGTGCAGAGCTGCATTGGTAGAGGGAACTTCCTCATTTTGAGTTCTTTATTTCAATGAAATCTTAGTTCATCTTAAAGATAAGTCTGCATGTGGGTATATGTTGGTTTTATATCTGAAGAGGATATAACTGTGAAAATAAACCTCCCTGAGTTCCAGAAAATTATGATAAAGGGTTGTGTGTTGTGTGCATATAAATTTTTTTTATTAGGCCAAGATTTAAAAGTATTACCTTTGTTAAGTTAAAAAGCATCACTAATTACTAATGATTTAAAAATTATATTCCAATATGGAGAGAAATCAAAATATAAGGTATTTCCAAAGATTTAATCATTTTATTCAGGCCAGAACACTTTTTAATAACATAGTAGAGCAAGAAAATATGCCAAAATAAAAAAATCATATTTAAATGAAAAGCACATTTTTAAAGTCTTTTCTAAAACTTAAAACAGTTTTGATTCAGTTATCTTACAGTTATGCCAAAAGTTATGCACCCCATATATCAATCATGTAAACATCTTTGCTGATTTCTAATGATAATTCTTAAGTGTTTCCAAAGCAACAGATGTTTACAAGAACTTATAATTCCCTTCCTCCTTTGGAATGGGAGGAATTCCCAACACAAATATATATAACGACACTATCATTATCCTGTGTAAAATCTGTAAAGGTAATTTTTCATCATTTTCATCAATTTGTGTGTCAAATATATTTTTAACTGTATGGTTTGTACCTTAAGACTTCTGTACTACCAAAGCAGAGTTAAAAATAAAAGAATAATTAAGTAGTTTTTTAAAAAAGTTACACTGCATCTTATTTCATTTCTTTTGGATACTCTTACAGTCCTCGTTTTTTCTTTTCTTTTTCCTGGAGTTTTCCTTAGATTAGTAGTGGAGTTACTCTTTTCTTCTGGGTTTACTTCTTGGGCTTCTCCCAATCCACAGCATGTCTTCATATGCTTAGAATTTCTTCTTTTTACTTGTATCTACAGCCTCAGTTTGTGCATTGGGGCTTGCCTGGTTCTGGATATGATAAGTAAGACCAGGCCCCATCTACTGTAGGAATTTCTGGTTTTTGGTTGAGTTTCCTAGTGGTTCAACTTAGGTCTAGTCTTGGCTCCTTCTCTCTCTTCTTTCACAGTTCTGAACTCATAGGCCGCTTTGTCTCTTGGTGTGAGTCTGATGGGGTCCAGTCAGATGTTGGCTGTCTTGACTGCAGACCTCAAGAGTTTTGCTTTCCAGGTACTGCTCTGGCCTCTTCTCCTGCTGTATTCCTGTTATGGCCGAGGCATGTGTTGCCTAGGTTTAGGTACTTGGCTTCTTTCACTGTGTTCTATTCTGGAAGCTGGGCTACTTGCTCTGGCTCTATCTCCAACTGTGGATGGGGGAAATTACTGCTTGAGCACTGGTGTGGCTTTTCCTCCCCCTCAAGATCTGAGTGACGTGTATGCTTTGCATTCTACCTATCCTGCTTTGTCTCTGCTTAGAGATTCCATGATTCTGGCAGTATTTTCGGTGGAGTCCTGGACTAGATCAAGCTCTCCTTGGTATCACCTCTCCCCCACCCCCACCTGTCTTTATCACTGTTTCTTCTGGTACATTTTAAAAACTTTTTAAAAACTGGGGCATTTATAGAAACTGGGCTCTCCTAGATTCTAACATACCACCATCTTCTCAAAATTCCCTTTGCTTAGCTTTTAAAGCCCTTTAAAACCTAACCTCAATCTGTGTTTCCAGAATTATTATACATTATACCTCCTCCCATATTATGCAATCCAATCAAACTGGTTCCTTTGCTCCTCACACAGGACACCATCTCCTGTCTTAGTACTTTTGCAACAGCATATGTTTCCTCCTCATTTCAACCTTAAAAAATAAGTCATCCTTCCAGAAGTAGCTCAAGCAATATCTTCCTTTCGTGATCCCCTCAACTGCTAGTTTATGCCTCTTTCAAATTACCTCATTTTAGACTGCTTTGTATTTATTCTCTGCATATTTATATCTTTGTTGCGTCCTTGACTAGAATGTAAACTTGCAAGTAGTGATTGTATCATTCATTATATTTGTATCCTCAGTACCTAGCATAGTACCTACCACATATCAGATAATTAATACCAATTGATTAATATTTATTGATTGATAATAGTTGTACTGGTGTTCTGTCAACAATTATGAAGTACAGAAGCAGCCCAAAATAATAAAAATAATTAAAAAGCAATATGAATAACCTCTAGAGAATCTGAATATACTGATGCTAGTTACTCAAAAAGCTATGTGAGAAAACTGGCCTATAAACCTTAAAGCATTATATAAATCTCAACAATTAGTAAATTTTACTCCCTAAATTTCCATAGGTATCTTTAAGTATATCTATAAGAAGTCTTATTAAATATTTGTTGAAGTAATGCATGGCATGGCAAATTATGTTTTAAAAATAAGAACAATAGCACTCACCCACCTTCACTAACCAGCTCACTGTTGTCTGATTGCTTACAGGAAATTATCTTCTCCACCAACTGGTTGTAGCTGCAATTACCAACTGCTTTCACAATGTCAGTAATCTGCAAGACAAATAACTAACTCACTTACCTGGTAGGAGGTGAGAGAGAAAGCCGTTCTCTCTAATATTGTCGGACTCCATAAAAACTTGAGTTAATTTTATATCAATAATAAAGTTTTATTAATGACAAGCAAAACACAAAAGTCAGTATCAAATACCTTTTGCTATTTCCTTTCTAACTCACATAAATGTATTCCTCACCTGTATTTATGTAAAATGTCTAGGTTATACAAAATCTTAGAAAATAGAAAAAAATGATATATCTACATGTCAATTTGCTAATTAAGACCTAAATGTGTATTTAATTGAATGAAATTAAAAGTAACATTTTAGTACTATTCAGAGACTAGAATAAAGTTTCAATACAATGTTTATTTCATTTACTATAACAATGAAAATTTTACATTCAAGGGAAGGCTTACCTAAAGGTAATATTAATTTTTAGGCTAGACCTAGTTTTTCCTAACTAAAACTAAAAAACTGAGTAAACATTTTATTTTATGCTCAATTTAATACCTAATACTCTTCAGAGATTTAATAGTTATTCTCCTTCATGACACTCTGAGCCAAACCAGACTACTAGGTGTTGTCCAAACTTGACATTCCCTATCTTGTTTCTATGCCTTTGTACAAACTGTCCCTAAGTACTTTGAACAGGCTCCCTCCTTACTTCTGCTTCCTCGAATCCTTAGGTTTCTTTCAAGGCTCAGCTGAGATACTGATTACTTTTCCAAACCTTCCTGAATCTCCTAGTTTATAGTGGTCTCTCATTCATCAAATTATTTTGAATTTATTTAACCAGGTAATCTTGAATTACTATAGTAAAAAGTAAGCTTGAGGGCAAAGACTGTTGGGTTGCTATATATGCTAGCACATAAATACATAGTTATTTGCCAAGCTAAAGTAAACAAGCATGATAGTTTTAAAATTTTTAAAGTGATTCTTTCTTAACTATATTAGTAATTTCCAAATAAGATCTCTTCTCTTCCCCTCCTCAGTTCCCCAGGAATTTAACTTGTACTTGCAACAACAAAAACTGTTAAGCAAATCTGATCGACTGTGAGGGAAGCATGTTTCATCAGCAATTGTCCACGGTTAGTTCTTTTCATTCAATGACTGCTGTCATTGTGCATATTATTCTCCTGATCTGCTTATTTCACTTAGCATCACCTCATATAGATCTTGCCATATTTTTCTGAATTCTTCATATTCAGCTTTTTTATGATACAATAATATTCCATTACATTTATATGTTCCAACCTGTTCAGTCAACCTCCAGTCAACAGGTACCTTGTTCCCAATGATTTTGTTTCAAGTTCTTTTGTTTTTGCTAACACAAAGAATGTGGCTAAAAATATTGTTGTATGTGAAACCTCGCCACCCCTTTCTGTCACTGACCTCCGTGGGAATATAAAGTCAGTAGCAGGATTGCTGGGCCAAAGGGCATGAATAGTTTAATGACTTTTTCCCTCAATAATTGCAAACTTTTCCTGAATTGAAATAACTGAAAACTACACCAATATATTAATGGTGCCTCCCTTCCTAGCAAAAAAAAAATAGATCAGTCCCTGAAACTTTAATTTTTCCTGTTTCTTTTGTCATTAGAAAAAACAAATCTACTGAAATATGAGTTATTTTCATTTTTATTTCTCTTTATTACTAGTGATTTAGTTATTTTTCATATACTTATCAATCATTTGCATTTAATTTTTATTGTATCAAATTTTAAACTGCTAAAAGTCACTCTTCAGAAAATACACATGGGGGCAGCTAGGTGGAGCAGTGGATAGAGCACTGGCCCTGGAGTCAGGAGGACTTGAGCTGAAATCCGATCTCAGACACATAACATTCACTAGCTGTATGACTCTAGGCAAGTCACTTAACCCCAACTGCCTCACTTAAAAAACAAACAAACAAACAAACAAAAAATATACATGGCTTAATCAAAGGCATTTGCTTTAAAATTTTCCCCTTTCCAATAAGCATTGGGACAAGGAGAGGGGCAATTCCTATAAAACATGACTCAAGTAAATCAATATATTTCATCTTAGTTATATTTTGATAACTCATTGTGGCATGGAGAAGACTACATTCTTGAAGGCTGTGCCAGTAAAGTATGAGCTCTATAGAGTCTACATAGGCTTCAATTATAGTTAAGGAGAGACTGTTTGCTGTCCAAACATCAGCATATCCCTTCCAGAATCTTCATTTAAGGAGGATGCCCAGGCCAGCCACCTCTTCATTTACTACCCATGGTACTCCTCTGGACTTCTCCATCATGTCCCTGGGCCAGGTATCTTCTCCTCCCTCCTTCACACTTTCAATTTCCTTTTCTGTGTTATTTCCTCCCATTAGAATGTAAGTTCTTTGAGGGCAAGGACTGTCTTTCTTTTTTTCACATTTGTATTCCCAGAACTTAGTACAGTACCTGGTACATATTAGCAGGTGCTTAATAATTGTTTATTTACTAAAAGATGAACTCTGATCCTGGAAATCCATGAAACAAAGAAAAACACAAAATATCTATCAAATCTCTGTGGTTCCCTTAGCTTTCTGCAGTGATGGTGGCAGACTGACATAAAGAGATCTCAGAGAATAGTAAGAATCACAGATTAATAAAGATTAATTTAACTGTTGGTACTATACCAATCAACTCATATTTACTGAATATCTGCTATGTGCCAGACACAACAGGATACAAAGATAAAAATGAAACTACCTTTGAACTCAAGGAGCTTATATTCTATTGTGGGGTGAAGTGTCAACATATGTATATATGCAAAATAAATACAAGGTCATTTTTTGGGGTGCAGTTAGGGGACTAATATCGATGGGGAATAAGGAAAGTCTTCGAGTAGAAGGTGGCTTAAGATGAGTTTTGAAGGAAATGAGATTTTAAGTACCAGAAGTGAGAAAGGAATGCAATCCAGGCATGAGAGACAGCCAACAGAAAGGCATGAAGACAGACCTCTAAATATAAGATCCCTGGACGACAACTAGAGCCAATAAACTTCTAGGGAAATGAATTATACCAATACATATACTCTTATGATAAAGATGACTTAAGGAAGATAAAGCTACATAGAATGATAGCTAAAAGGTTTTCCTAGGAGAGATATGTAAAATAATTTAATTCATTATTCATCCAAAGGTAACCAGGAAAATAAAGTCATGGAATACTTATCCTGACCCTCTGGGCTCAAGAAGAAAATAAGCAAAAACATCACTGTGAAGATAATTGCATGTTACATGCTACCATCTGTTACAGTAGATGAGGAAATGGAGAAATTCTACAAAGACCTTGATACCTTAGGTTGTCAACATATAAGTTAATATTTAGCCATTTCAATGCAAATCTGGCAATAGGAAGATGTGTGTGTGTGTGTGTGTGTGTGTGTGTGTGTGTGTGTGTGTGTGTGTGTGTGTTGGATAATACAGTTTAAGATTAAGGAACAAAAGCCCAAAGTCTTACAGAGTACATGGATGCATCAACCTTCTTTGCACCAGCTCATATAACTTTAATAAACACTTGACTGAGATAAGTTTCTTATTGGATAAATGGCCCAAAGGAAATAAATAGTTCATAAAAGAACTGCAAGCTATTAAAAATCATACGAAAGATTGTTCCAAATCACTCATTAAGAGAAATTCTTGTCAGGCTTTACCTCATGGATAGCAAACTGACAATGTGACAAAAAAATGGAAAAGAATCAATATTGGAAGGAATGTAGAAAGGCAATAATAATAATATACTATTGATGGATCTATGATTTGGTTCAAGCATTCTGGAAAAGAATTTGAAATTATTCTAAAGGAATGACTCAAATGCCCATCCCCTTTAACAAAACAGACCTTGATATTACGCAAACAGCACAAAGAGGTCAAAGATAGAAAGAAAAGTATTGCTATACACACCAAAATATTCATGGTGACACTTTTTGTGGTAGTAGAGTAAATATCCATCAGCTGAAAAATGGCCTTAGAAACTGTGGCATATGTATTGGAATGGAATGTGACGGCACCATGAGAAATAATGAATATGATTAGTGCAAGGGAAGCACAGAAGATTTATATGAACTGAGGCAGAGTGATGTATGCAGAACCAGGAAAACAATATACAGAATGATTAGAACTGTGTCAATGGAACAAAAAGGAAGGGGAGGAGGAGAAAGAGAAGGAAAAAGGGGAGGAGAAGAAAAAAGAGAGGAGCAGAAGAAAAGATGAGAAAATTCACCCCTCTTCCATTATTGAAGAAGTAAGGAACTATAGTTGGGTACATAGCTAACTGCATTTTTTCCCTTTAAAAAAAAATTCTCAATTACAAAAATATAGCTAGGGTAAAGGAAAGAGAAAATATAATAGTTTTTTTAAATGATGAAAAAATTTTTTAAAGTTTAAAAATACATTAATTTTTAATTTAATTTAATAATTTAAAATTTTAATTCAATAAAATATTTTAAAAGATAATTTGACTTGCCAAGCAACCATAGTACTGACAGAGAAAGTTCAAAGTATCTGTAACCTTCAAATTCACAAAGGAGTTAAAAGAAAGGACTATCACTTATTATAAGAATTTAAAATGGGCTTTTTTTTTTTCCGAATTCAGAGTATTAAATCATAATACCCACACATATAAATGTGTATATACACACATATACATACCCACCCACAAACTAAAATATTGTCATTATTTGTATCACTAATGAATTCTGACAAATCCAATGATAAAATAATCTGCTTAATTTTAGCAGTGAAACAAAGCTTGCAGAACTGAAACATTGTTTATAGTTTACTCTGAGAAGCTGCAAATATTTAATTTGTACTTTCAACAGCTAGTTTAACTTGAATGATGCTAGCTACTAGCATCATTTTTCTACGTTATTTCCTTCAAGCAAAACAATGAGATCTTTTATGATATAATCTAGTATTTCTAAATTCTAAGTTATTCAGAAAAAAACACAAACACAACCTCATGAATACCATATCAAACGAAATACACAG